AAAATGTTGCCCTTGTTGACATACAACTTACAACATTTATATGTTGATACACCTTCGATTCTGAATGTAAGGGATACATTGAAAACAAATATTGACACATATTGAAAATAATGCCAGAAACCATATCGATGGCATATATTCTTACAATATATATATAAACATATATGTAGATATTATCAGAAAATATCTAGTAGCATTTGAAATCGAATTTTCCAGAAATATCTACAAACAATATTGTCACGATCCTGGTCTTCCTGATGGGATAAGGCCACTGGATCATCTTTGAGGGTAGCTCAGATAGGGTAGATCATATCAACTCAGACACTAATAGTTTAAGAGGTATGAGAAGTAGTAAAAACCGTGTTTAAACCACAAATACATTTATTACATCATTGATATAAAAGAGGAATCATCCAAATGCGATACAAAACAATTAAGTGGTACTTACAATATAAATAGGGCCATTTCGGAGAGGGTTGTCTGGTAGGATGCACAAAGACCTAACTAACTCGTTAACGCGACGACTGACTGTGCGAACCCCTAGATTCCACGACCGACGGCAACTACCCGCTAATCCAGTATCCACTATCAGTTATCAACTATCAACTATATCTTCAATAATCATAATCTGTATTTATCTGAATTCTCAAGAACTATTATTGTTTAGGTTATTCTCGGTACGTTACTAATGGAGGTTACTCAGTCGTACAGGTTGTTAACGAGTCAATGTCAAAACGTGTTCGAAATGTTTATAAACTTTTCTGTTCAATGAGAAAAGCACGATTTATAATTTTATAGAAATATTGAATTATTAATGACTTTGATTATGATTTTGGAAAAATCACTTAATTGTGACAATATCTGCAACATATTGAACAGCACTTTACTAGAATATCGATGAATAATATTGATAGGGCATTATTACATTATATTGATTATTTTCACACTTCGAAGTTGATACAACATTCATTTCCAATATTGGGAAAAAGTTGAAGAGAAATATACATTTATATACACAATATCGTCAAAAATTATATCGAATACTCATATCCATACAATATAAGTATCTAGATATTGAATGAGGATGATGAGATCTATCTGCACAATATGTCTACAAAAAAATCTATTCTATTTTGATCATCACGATGATCAGATATTGAAGAATTATATCGACCAAGGAAGAATATCTTGGAGATGTGTGGTTACCCCACTAGAGACCGAGGCGTTACTGGTGGCCCACCCTGTATATCGCACCTCCGGAAGAACAACGACGTAAATGCAAATTTTTCATTTTTGTGTTTGTCAAAACGCTAAAAATAGTTGAGATATTCCAGAGGAACAATGCCGTAAACATAACTCACATAACTTACACCAGACGGCAGATGCGTCGTTGTGCAGAATATCGACTGTTGATGGTTTCTGGCGCCAACATCGTCGCAAGATCCAGTCATGCACTGATTCGAGCGAGACTGTCTCTATTCGCATGAATACTGACGTAAATGCAAATAACGGCTTCGTGAAACTATTTTTCGTCTTAACCTTAGTGCTACATTGACGTAATTGTGAATTGTGCTACTGTTATCCTGTAATTCTTAATCAGATTCAGTGCAACACTGACGTAAGTGTTAATTAAGTCATTATTGACGTAGAAATTTGTAATATTTTGGAAAAAAAATAGTACAACATCGCCGTAAATGTACGGTATGTCAATATTAACCTTAAAATTGTTAATTAGGCAATAGGTCGCGTGCAAGAACTGTCAGATGACCGACCCTGGAGGCAAAACATATTTGTTTACAAGTGATTGAAATAGTTTTTCACAATTATTTTGGCATATGAATCGTATTTTTCCGCTATTCATCAATTCGCTAATGCCATCACATTGTGCTGTTGTAAAATACACAAAAACTGCAGCGGAAGATGAAGAAATCCGGATGGTACATTATGATTCAAAAGTAAGTAGGTACCTACTATAGTCACTCACATAGTTTTCATTATTGAAATTTGGTTATTTCTCTGATTTCTCATCGGAATTCCTTCTGCAATAGGATCAGCTAATAGAAATATACCTGAAATTTCTAGAATAATGCAAGAAGATTGGATTCATGCAATCAATCGGTAGGACTGGTCTGACATGCTGACGATCGTGTTTGTTGTAGACATTTTCAATCTATTAGCAGCATTAGCTTGTATTGCAGAAGTGGCAGAAGGCAGAAGGAATTTTAATAAGGAATGACAACATTTCATAATGCTAACTATGTGAGATTACTATTTATCTGAAAAATCATATTCCCTAGTCTCTTGCTGCATTTTTTGTGCATTGTACAACAGCACAATGCGAAGGCATGCTTGAATTAATGAATAACGCAAGAAACACGATTCGTATGCCAAAATATTGTGAAAAACTATTTCAACCTTTTGATTCCTCTGTAACCAAATAAAAAAGTGAGGTTGTGTTTCAATAATTCACAGAAGAATGAGGTTGTGTTTCAATATTTCGCCTCCATGGTCGGTCTTCGTGCACGCGACCTATCCAAAGACCTGTCAAATAATTTCAAAATGGCGTCTGGTTGGCAAATAAACCAAAGACAAAATTGTTTACTTGGGAACTTTGTGGGTTTTGGAAGCCTCTTACAGTATTATTTTATCGAGTTCCGGCTAGATTTATTGTGAATAATGAAAACTCAGTATGATTTCAAAGAAAAAATTACCAGTAACGTGAATTGTGGTGGATTGTGGAAGCAGTGCAGATCGGGACCATTTGCTGTTTTGTCACATTTCTACTGTAATACTGTGAAAAACTCTGAGCATTACCCACAGATGAAGAATCTATCAAGAAAAATAAGGGAAATGTAGATAGCAGCCATCAAGAGAAAGAATCAGCAACAGAATCAATCATAATAAACCAGAGAATATGTGGCAGACACTATTTTCATAACAGCTACCTAAGAAAAAGGATTTTAATATTATTTATATGTATACCTACCTACTCTAGAACTGATGAGTTTAGTGTTTCATCCTATGGAAAACTTATCTTTTTTTCATTTTGATAAAATAAAACAATACTCATTATATACTTATGATGGTCCTACATAGTTTGGAAACATTATGTTTCTAATACATAAATAATACCTTGTAGGAGAACATAGTGCCTGAAAGATGAGAATATCCAGCTTGGGTCCCATTGCAATATAATACGGGTAATCAATCTCTTGTCTATTCGAAATGCAAGACTGATGTGGATCAAAAACTGAGAGCAGATGAAAGGTTCAAATCATGAATCAAGCATCAGAACCGAGAGACCTGGTATGTTCTCAAGAAAACACCTAATTACCTAATACTACTACTACCTCATTTTTCATTTATTTTAGTGTAATGAAGAAAGTGTCCTTGGAGATGAAGAAATAGAAGAGAAAATTGGTGAAAACAAGGTGAAAATTTACAAGATTATAAGTACTTTTACAAACTACAGTTTGTTGAGATTTATTTTTATCAATTATAAATGTGAGACAAATAAAGTAAGTATATCAAAATAATTGAAATATTCATTAAATGAAAAATACATTGTATTACTCCACTATATTACAAAAGATCTACATGAGTCATGAAAAAGTCTTCATAGAACATTATGGTTATTCAGTGATCTGATTGAAACAATAGTAAACAATGATTGAATGATATATTCATTATGAATAGGTACATATTTTTTCATAGAACTTGTTGAATCAGAATTCACAAAACCATGCTGATTCTGGTGTACCTAAAATATCTACACATTGTAAATAGAACCAAACAATTTCCCTTTATCACTGTCACAACTAGTTATAGGGGTTCCATCATCAGCACTTGAACACTTACACCAATTGTTCACTTCTGGTGAAATTAATATCCACCCAAAAGTCCAGGTATTATAACTTCAGCATGAAACTTCAAAGCAATTTGTGAATGTTGTTCCCAAAAAAGACGTTTCCCGGACATTGAAGATATAGTAGGGATTTTGTATTAAACCAGTCAGAGTTACTGTACCTATGTCCATTTCTGCTATTGGTATGATGGGAACAATCATGGTGAGAGGGGTGGCATGGGCCACAAAACACATACATCAGTACATGAAACTGTTCCTTATTTACTTGCCCAAGCCTCAAGTTACTTATTAGCACAGAATCTGATTGTGATTATTTTACCTATAAGAAAATTGCATGAGATATACATGAATATGAGGTAGGAAATATATTTAAAAATATATGAATAACATAATTTCATCATTCAAAATGTTCCTATCATGGAAGTTATTTAGGTATAAAAGTAAAAAGTTACCTTTCCAACTATGACATGAAAATCATTCATCTCCCTGTCTACTTCCTGGACAAAAGTTGCTGAAAAATACTTGTGAACAACAAGGGTTTTGAATGCTTTCATTTGCTGATGAGGGTAGAAACTGTGGGTCACTATAAATAGTAGGAGAGTATAATTATGAGGTAGTCTAATCAGTCAGCAGTTTCAGATGTGAAGGGCTTCAAATCCTTGATCAACATCAGCTTCATCAGATATCTACAAACAAATTATGGTTGTATGATAGTTTCAGGAATGAAAATTCACTGGTTAGTTGAGAAAAATAGCCGAAAAAACAATAAATATTCATGTTTACCTCTGACCAACCTCTGGGTTTTCCTGCAATAACTTCTGGAAATATGAACTCAGCATATTGAAGCACTGTTCAATTCAGTTCCGAGGCTCCCTCAAACACCTGACTTATAAAACTACCAGAATAATAGGGTGATTCGGTCAAAATACAATTTAATTACAAGTGATGTATAATCTTTGTTTGCCAACCAGACGCCATCTTGTCAGCTAAAATGTCACGTGGTTTGGATTGCCTAATCTTTTTTGACGTAAACATTTTTAATGTCATTTTTATCACAATTTTGAATATAATTGGTTGTTTAAGATTTGATTTGTTATTGTTCATATTTCAATTTTAGTGGTAAATTAATATTAAAATGGAGGGTAGAGCAAAGAAGATACTGAATTTGGCGATACGAAATATCCGAGAACTACACAATCAACATGTTGACGACGTTCAACCAATGCCCAATTCATCTGAAATAACTGTGAAAGTCGGAAGCCCTAAAGCCATTACAGGTATATTTTCAATAGCCAGATTCACTAACGCTAAACCAGGTCTAAATATTTAAACCCCTTATGTAGGTTTAGTCATAAGCAGTGGTAAATCATAAAATATTCATATGGTTTAGTGTTTCTTCAAGTGAACTATTCCTCGGTGGGTTTTAGTGTTTATGCCCTACAACGGGTTTAAATATTTAGACCGGGTTTAGTGGTAGTGAATCTGGCTTTTCATGTTTAAATTGACTTGTGCTACATTTTTTACATTTTCAGATTCTGCATTGAACGCTACGGATGATTTGAGACCGGTGCTATATACATCCAATGAGGCCATGTAAGTAGAAAGTCCTGGAACCGCCCAGTAAACACAAACATCCCTGGGATGTCACATTCATGTCTCACTAGGTAACAATGCGAATCACAAGAAAACATCATTGGTATTGCCAGGGGACTCTTTATTTCACAAAACATTCGCGATATTCGTCACATTTTATTGTATTCGAGACTTAAAATGTAGGTGATTTTGTGAAGCTTCATAACAACCAAGAGACTCACTTGAACCTCACATTCTTGTCTATTCATGTAACAAACGGAATAAATCAATTTTGATGTTGAATGAGGAGTCGCTTGATACGTACGATGAGTTTCATTTGGCATCATAATGTGAATCATAAAATGACCAAAAGGGTCCATAATAGCAGTCATTGTGAATTCAGTGGGACTCACATTCCGAGTCACGGATGTGATGTGTGGCATGAATGCGATGCCCTCCTATATCTTTGGGATCAATCTGTGTCAACTGGGCGTTTTAGGTATTCATTTAAGTACTTAAATTTGCCTGTATATAGTAGTTTTTTTACTACATTTTGATACAAAATAAATATATAAATATTGTTCTATATTTGCAGTTTCTGATCTGAATGCTACAAACGATCTGAGACCAATAACCAGTACGTCCAATGAGGCTATAGAAGTAGAATGCACTAAAACCATTATAGGTATTTACTCAAGTATTCAAATTAGCTTGTATGTTGTATAGTTTTTTGCTACATTTGCATACAAAGTTAAATATGTACATGATATTGTTTTATTATTTAAAGTTTCTGCATTAAATGTTACAAACGATCTGAGGCTGGTGCCCAGTACATCTAATGAGGCTATAGAAGTAGAATGCCCTGGAACCATTATAGGTATTCATTTGAATATTCAAATTGGCCTGTATGTAGTACAGTTTTTTGCTACATTTGCATAAAAAGTTGAAATAAATATAAACGTATAGTTTTAATATTTTCAGATTCTGTATTAAACGTTACTGATGATATTGAACGGACGCCCGGAACATCCAAACAGGTTATAGAAATAAAAAGCCCTGAAAATGTGTATTATGCTCCGACACAAACTGGCCCAACTAAGCTAACATTAAGGAAAGTTTCTAGACGATTATACCACGAGGATTCGGAAAATGAGGAAGCCTTCTCAGCGGAGGAGAGTGACGAGTATTTGCCATCAGATACGGATCAATCCACTAGTGCTAGTGATTCAGAGAACAAAACCGATTTCAATTCGCTCGATGTTAATAACTCTCCTATCAAAAAAGGAAAGAAAAGACAGCGCAATCCAGCAGATTGGAAGAGAAATAAATCTAAAATCCTAAAAAATATGGGAAAGGAATATGTATCTCATACTGGCAAGTTTGTTAAAGAGAAAGTAATAAAGCCACCCTGCTCAGAGCGTTGCAAGCTTGGATGCCAGAATAAACTTTCTGAGGATCATAGAACCAAGTTATTTATGGATTATTGGAAATTAGGTTCACTACAGCGTCAGCGCGACTTCTTAGGCTCGTGCGTTGAACCACTAGTTACTAAATATAGGCGGATATCAGGTGCAGATGCTAGACGTAGAAATTGTGTATTTTATTTGACAAATAGTGGTATGAGGATGCGTGTATGCAAAACATTTTTGATAAATACATTTGGAAATACAGAAAGAACTATTCGAACATTTATTCAAAGCATAGTTTCTGATAATGGAATGATACCCCAAGATAAGCGTGGAAAACATGGAAGACAAATGAAGATTGACCAAGAGATACTCGAATCTGTGAGATTTCACATAAATTCCATACCAAGGGTGGAGAGCCACTATTTACGTGCTAACACTACAAGGGAATTCATAGATGGGGGGCTGAGTATTGCAGAAATGCACCGACATTACAAAGCAGAACGGAAGTCAGACAACAAACAAGCAGCCAATTATGACACCTATGCTCGGATATTCAACACCGAGTTTAACATTGGATTTTTTGTACCGCGCAAAGATCAATGCGATTTATGTGAATCGTATAAAAAATGCAAAAAATGAAGAAAAAGAATGTTTAAAAATAAAATATAATTTACTTCAAGAAGAAAAAATATTGAGTCGAAACGAAAAAGCAAAAGATAAAGAACAGGCAGATAAAGAAGGCTTTAATATAGTATTAGCTGTTTATGATTTACAAGCAGTCCTCTTCTATTCCTATCGGACAAACATCCGCTTTCTTTTACAAATCAAGGCTGAACTGTTTCAATTTTACTGTAAGGGCTTATTCAAATCTTAACGAAGTATATTTCTCACATTTTATATTTTATCGCAGGTATCTGAAATCACAAAAGACCATACAGTTTGTTTCTTCTGGCATGAAGGTCTAGGACATAGAGGAGCTATAGAAATTGTAACCTGTATCCTAAAGTTTCTTGAAGAAACAGCCAATGATCGTCCAGGTTGCGATGTCATATTTTACTCCGATAACTGTGGAGGGCAGCAAAAAAATAGGTAATAAACCTAAATTAAGTAACTCTTTTCGAAATAGCGAGTTCAGCACAACAGAATGATATAAACACCTACTACAAAAATCTAAATGACATATTTTTTTTAGGTGCATAATTGGGATGTATTTGTATGCCGTTGAGAACTACCGAATTAATTCAATCACACATAAATATTTAATTTGGGGTCATAGTCAAAATGAAGGTGACGCAGTACATAGCGTGATTGAAAAATCTTTGAAGAAACTGAAAAAATCTGGTCCCATATACGTTCCAGAACAATATGTATTTGTAATTAGAAATGCTAAAAAAAAACGGAAATCCTTACATAGTTAAGGAACTGAATTTCAACGATTTTATAGATTTAAAACGACTCAGTGAAGAGCTTGGCTTTAATTATAGTAAAGATAGTAATGGCGACCAGGTCAAAGTGTCAGGAGTAAAAATGTTACGTTTTATAAAAGGAAGTGATACTTACTATTATAAAACAAGCTACAAGGAAGATACATGGGTATCAGTTCCAGTCAGAATTACTGTAACCAGAAAATCGAAGGGGAAAATTCAAGAAAATGTTACTTTACATCCAGCATATGATCCAAAGATCGAAGTATCCGAGAATAAAAAAAGAGATTTAAAAAGCTTGTTGCAAACAAACATAATTCCAAAATTTTACGAAACTTTTTTTAATACTTTGTTTTAAAAAAATAGTATCAGTTAGATTACGAAATATTTTCAAGATACCTTTGTTAAAAAATATAACGATGTTTGATACACAGCATTATAATAAAATGATATACACCGTTACATAATTTATTTCCCCAATAATACCAGTTTTTTGTCGGATAAATTTGTCAGATTTATAATGATTACACGACTTTTTGGAAGAACAGTGACGTAACTGTATTTTTCTTCATCTTTGGGAGGCAATAATTTTTATATTTATTTTTTAATCCCAATATTACTTATACAGTAAAAGCTATACGTACGCCCTCTATCTCCATATTCCCTTTTGAATCTTGCCTGCCTTTCATTCTTATTGTAATATTACTAAATGAAATAATATATTTTTCAATTGCGTTTCCTGAACAATTACACTTTTTGCATTTAGGTCGTTGTTCTTCCGGAGGTGCGATATGTAGAAATAAATTAACAATGAGCAAAAGTAAGTATCTACCTGTTAGGTAATAGGTCATACTTATCCCTATTTTGAAAGGAATCAGTAGAGATTATAAAGTGAAACTTTGAAATTGCATCAATAAAGAATGAGGTGTTGATCTAGGTAGTATACAAAATCATTACAAAAACAGAAAAAGAACTAGAACTATTACCATGAATAAAATACATTTTAATAATAACATACAAGCAGTAAAATTATGGAGAAATATTTCCAAGATACAATTTGAAATGTCATGTATTTTGCTTGTACCAGGGTTATTATATTTCTATAATATATGCTTCTGTTTTTGCTCATATGAATGTGATAGGGAGCTGTATTCTTACTTAATCATTTTGGAAGTAAATGCAATCTGCATTGGCTATTTTACTACAGAGATGATACTATGAAATGAGAATCAATGAGGGCCTAGGCAGGATGTCATGAACCAGATTTTTATATGAGGCAAGCATTACAAATAAAACCATTAATTTCCCACCTGCACATATTCATAATGTCTTCTTTCTTGCCCAGCCTTGTGTACTGCAGTTTGAAAGTCAAAGGCATTGAATTAGCTTTTTTATTTTTATTATAAAAATATTTGAAAGAAAAACAACCAAACTTATTTTTCCAAGTCCTAGTTTCTGGAGACATTTCCCCATAAACAAAATAAATAGGTATGAACTGTTGATCATTTCAATCATGTTCTCTCTCAGATAGGCACTGCAAATAAGAGTTAATTATCAGTAATAAATATATCTATGAATCACAAATTTACCTTATTGTTATCATTATTGGACCAATGAAGTGAAGAAAGGTAGGAAGTTTTTGTTGGAGCTGCATACATCCAGTTTTCAAATTCATATTGGATTCTCAACGTTTATCCATTTTTTCAACTGAACTGATTTTTCATCAACAGAAAATACTTCTTAAGTGCAGGAAATTCATGTTTAAAGACATTATAGGTCCTACATTTTTCCATTGGAACCTTCTACTAGTTCAACCAGCAACCATACAGTTGATTTCGCGTATTTTTAGAGATTTGTTGATACAAATTCATAAAATAATATATAATTGAGTAGGCAATTAATATAAAGTTTATGTCTTGTACTCAAGAGGAGCAAGAAGAAAATTAACGTGATTTTTTGAATGGTATTCATAAAATATGAATCTCAATGAACATAATAACAAACATGACCTTGAATTACGTCCAAAACTGGTTCAAATTTGCCCACCAGATGTCGTATCGGAATCGTCACCTTTACAGAGACTGCATTTAACATGTCATCTTTTCTATTGGTCGATAGAAATCCGCCATGTTCAGGCAAAATCCGCGGCAAATTTGAATGACTTCAACTTTGTGTTGAAAATAGTAGTGTTTTTCTGTGGTTTTCCTGTTTTTTCTCATGCAGTATTATTTTCCATTCAATCAAATATTTCTACAGAACATAATATTGGTGAATTAAAAAATATTTTTAATGATCATAATAATAATGATTTATGTAATAATTAAAAAATCCGCTGTCCGCCATGTTTAGGCAAATTCCGAGGCGCTAAATGATTTGAACTTTGTGTCAGAAATAAGTAAGTGTTTTTCTGTGGTTTTGTTGTTTTCCTCATGCGATATTATTTTCTATTCGATCAAATATTTCTGTAGAACATAATATTGGTAAGTTAGGAAATATTTTTAGTAATCATGGTTTAACCTCATTTATTTATTTTTTTAGATTTTCTACCTCCATTTTTATAAGTTGCATATTTATTTCAATGAGGCTGGAAAATGTATTACTTGCAGTATGCAAATTTGCAATGACTATTGAATTGGACAGATTGGGTGATCCAATAATGTGAATGCTCCCAGAAGCCTCTTATGAAGACTTTGCATGCAGGATGGATTCCTGATGATGAAATATGATATGTTGTCCATAGCTCCAGCTACCCCATGTGATTGAGAAGCTAGAGAATACCAAACATATAAAGAAATAATCAAGCAGTGACCAGTGACTTGAAACAGCATGAAATTATAAATACTTGAAGTATGTGCTTCAAAAATGTAGAATTATCAGTGTATGTGTATTAAATGAAGTTCATGGAACACAATGTAGAATATTGGTGGACGATGACAATGTGATAAAAATAGTAAAAAACTACTCATTAATACAAAAAGACATTGATTTGCACAAAGTGGATGCATATTGTCAGTCAGAATGACTAGTAGGATGTTTTGTTTTTATAAAAATGTCAGTGATGTCACTCTGCTGTATTTTGACTATGATTTCGACAATATTAATTATTAATAACAAATAATTTTTATGGAAAACGTTCATTTTATTTCTCACATATCTCACAAATATACTGCAAGACACACAAAGGTGATTGATATTTAATCAACACTGATGATTAGTATAGGTATATTTTTTACATTTATGTATAGTAATTTCACCACTATTATAGTTATCAATTTGCTTATATTTGATTCGTTCTCCTGAACATAACAAATTAGGTATGATTATATCTCATCTGATAAGTGTCCTAGAAAGTACATAAAATGTTCATTGATTTCAAGCAAATAAACATCTAGTCCATTGACATTTTCCATTTCCTTAACCAAATCTTATGGACACACAAAACCTACACATTTAGTAAGACTGGCAAGCTGTATAGTCTATTCATGGAATCAAAATGGTCAGTTCTTGGATTACCAATTATAATCATTGGAAGTACCTATGAGGTCTGTTTTCATTTCTGTGGGTTACCATTGGTTTACTTGAGAGAGAGATTATATTCCAGATTGCCCTGTCACCTTTTCTGACTTCCCAATCAATACACCATTTTTGTCAGATATGTTGTCACTGTGTTTTTTTCATCAAAAAAATCCTGTATGCAGAATTCTATTTCATAGTAGTTTGGAAGTAGACAAAGTATAGGTACATTTTTACCTTAGAAGCTTTACATATTTTCTTTTTCCTTCAAGTTGAAATCATCACTCCTGGAAAAAGTTAGTACTTATTAATATAATAATATGTTTATTAACCCAGATGTACCTATTGTACTATATCAAGTACGGTCCTAACAACTTGTAGCGGATTTCTGGCGCGCGTGATCCAACGCTGTGGCGAATGCTTCAGTATAGTCGGATCATTGTGCCTGTGCAGACTAAGTCAGTTCTGGGGAGTGAAAGTGCGAATTTGATTCTTTCAAAGAATAGATATAAATAGGAATGGCTGAATTTGGTGTAACCTTTGCTAGGTAAGTCGATTTGAAGTATAGAAAATAGAGATAAATTACATAATTGGCTGGTAATAATATGATGAATAATGATTATATCATGAATTGATTAGATACATCCATTATTCTGATGAATGATATTTTTTCGAGAACGACTTTTAGGGATGTGGATGTAC